TTGTCTTTCAGCATCTGCTCTTCACTAGATCTACAAGATCATCTAAAGGGATCTGATTGAATCAAGATGCTGCTGATCATTGAAGCTCTTCTTCTCATTTTAGCTGCTCTAGGACAGGTAAGCTTGGGTTCTAGTATGAATATTACAGACATGAATACTGATGATTGATCATTATGATTCCTGTTGCTGCAGGATCACAGAGCTGCTGCAGTTAAAGAACAGATATTTTCACTGGATATGGCATTGAATTCAGTTGATGATCAATATAAGGGCTGTAGAGAGAAAATGGCAGAAAAGGTGAAGACGGTATTTCTAAACAAGGAAATTAATAACTCACCTGGTTTTAAAAATGCTTGGAAAAAAGGTGCAGACTTTGTCAAGACCCAAAATGACAAGCTGACAAAGAATCATTCAATCGCTATTTATGTGTACAGTGAGTGTAATATATATACACTTTTTAATAATGACACTCGTTCTGGTAAAAAACAGTACAAACACAAGACATACAAATGGTATTCACTTTACTTTCTGTTAACAGAAGCAATACAGATTCTGAAGAAAACACAAAACAAATGCTATTCAACATTTCGTGGTACCAAAGCTGAATTTGATAAGCATGTTCTGAACAAAGAAGTTCGTTTTGGCCAGTTTGCTTCTTCCTCTCTTGTTCATAAAAAAGCACAGCGTTTTGGAAATGTATCTTGTTTTGAAATCTACACTTGTGAAGGTGCTGATGTGTCAGAATACTCTAAGCTTCCTCACGAGGAAGAGGTGCTGATTCCTCCGTATGAGACGTTTAAAGTCACTGCTGTTAGGACAAGAAGAGAGGAGAAAAATCTCTGGTGTGACACTGTGTATGAGTTGAACAGCACTGGAACAAGAAGTGACCTGAACTGTGCGCTATTCAAGAAACCAACCAAGACCATAATGAAGTAATGTGTTGTGCGCTGAACAAAATGCTTAAATTCAAATGATAAAATCATGTACAACAGTTCTATATTTAGATTGTTTTTCTCTCAGTTTTGTTCAATAATTTTTTGTTAGAAAACACAATTTGTTTACATAACTTCAGCATAATGAAATAAAGTTACTTTTATGTGACCCAATTCAGTGGCCTTTACGTGATTTTATGTTTTTCTAAAACATTTCTTTGTTTATACATACACATTTTTGCTGAACAATTTTAGTGCTTGCTAGCAATATCATAGCCACCAATACAGCTTACAGCAAAAAATGTTTTATCAATACAAAAAAATTGATTTTTTGCTTCTTGTTGAATTTAATTTGTTTCAGTAAACTTAAACAGAAGTTCAATCACTTAAATATTTTAAAATATAACTGGCTTAATATTTATCCGCTTAATCTTAATCAGGAGACTGAGAAGAGTTCCTGTGATGTTGGAGTTTTTGTGGTTTTCATTGTGCAGAAGAGTGAAGCTTGTGGTTTTGTTGTGGGCAGCTTTACTAACACCATGATGCTTTACAAAATGAGCAATGATGAGTCTTCATCTCACTACATTAAGTCACAAATGTATTAGTAGCTAGCAGTTAAATAAAACGGATTGATTTAAGTAGTAAATAATTGAGAAATTCTAATTAATTCGGTTTGTTCAACAAAACATTTGCTTATTCAAGTCTTCTTATGTGAACTTTAGAAAAGCTTATCTCAGTTTGATTAAGTTCACTGAACATCTTCTGAGTGTATGCATTTGAAAAATATGTAAGGATTTATACATGAGTCTTACTCATCTTAGACAGACAGGAATTCAAGAGTTTTTTTCCTACTTGAAGCCACACAGACCAGACCTTCAGAAGTGCTGCTTTATCAGAGGAGATGAGAAGATTCACTCTTTCAACTCTTACCCATTCGAGCTGCGTATTAGAGACGTGTCTCTGGTACAAGAAATAGTAGGTGAGTCTTCACTCACTTACTCATTCGTGTTGCCAGATCTTGCTAGAAAAAAAGCACAAACAAGAACAACTTCATAATAATCCGAAATAAATCCAAATACTTAATATTTAAAATATGACCAAAAAATTGTGACCCACAAGTGCCCACTTTATAAGTCCATAAACCAGATCGTTTTGTGAGCTTTGCACAAACAACAAGCTCATAGACATTAAAAAAAAAAAAGAGGACATGGCAACACTGCATGAGAAGTGCTCTGCAGAGCGTAGGCTATACCAGGTGACTCCAAACTCGGTCCTGGAGGGCCGGTGTCCTGAGTTTAGCTCCAACTTTTCCTAAACATACCTGCCTGGAAGTTTCTAGTATGCCAAGTAAGACCTTGATTAGTTGGATCAGGTGTGTTTAATTAGGGTTGGAGCTAAACTCTGCAGGACACAGGCACAGCAGGACCGAGTTTGGAGAAAAAAATGAAAAAAATGATGCCTCTGTTGGCGGTGGTACACTACCATTGAGAAATTTGAACCAAACTATGTTACAGACTTTTCATTAAGACCCTAAAAAATCATATAAACTTGTGGAAAATGGGCATCCTGTGACCCCTTTAAAATTGTAGAACGAGTTGTAATATTTCTTTGGTAAGTGAGCTGTTTTGTGTACACACACGAAACCATAATTTGGGGAATTCACTCCTTTATTTTAATGCGGTTGTCACTCCTGAAACTTTACAGTGTGGTCAGATTTTACAGAACCATAGTGTAAAATGTTATGAAATTTATCAACAGTCAACAGTGTTAATAACAATTTCAGACAATAACAGTCAAAAGTTGCTTACAGATTTGTGATATAATCAGCTGTTCTAACCCAATCAATCAATGAATGATGGTGTGGACAGGTGAAGCCTGGTCATTGTAACGCTCTGAAAGAGCACCACCTACTGGCCATTGTCTGAAATTCATTATAACTCTTTATTACAATAGCCTGGTCAATAATGATTCCTAGGCACACACTTTGAGGTTTGGCTCATATTATTAACGAGCTGGATCTCTCACCAGTCATAGATCTGATCTTCAACCCTTATAACCTACAAACTGTGTGCAGTCAGTAGAGCAAAAATATAAAACTGATCCAACAATGTGCCAAGAGCAAATCAAAACATAATTCAGACCAGATTTTAGCATTTTTTGAAGACTATGTGTGTGGCGTTTGTCTGTGTAAAGTGCTGGACTTGATCAAAAGTCAAGTTTTAGGAACTACCGCGAACGACCTTAATTTTGACACTACTATCTTTTGAAAACAGATGTGTGCTGCTAGATTACCACATACATTTGAAAGTATTTTTAATAATTTTAGTGTCACATCTTTCAGATCTGCACCTTTGCATGTTTTGCAAGCATCCTTTCTGTGATTACTTAAGCGTCAGTAATCACACTAAGTAATCTGAGTGAGCGTGTACATAAATACGAACCAAATGACCTTTCTTCACCTTTTTCAACCTCTTTTGCTCACCAAGGCTGCATTTATTTGATCCACAATACAAACAGCAATTTAATGAAATCTTATTACAATTTAAAATAACTGTTTTCTATTTGAGTATATTTTAAAATGTAATTTATTCCTGTGATGCAAAGCTGAATCATTACTCCAGTCTTCAGTGTCACATGTTCCTTCATAAATCATTCTGATATGCTGCTTTGCTGCTCAGGAAACATTTAATTCTTATTATAAACGTTGTAAACATTTAATTCTTATTATAAACGTTGTAAACATTTAGAATAAGAATTAAATACATGCTGATTAACAAAAACCCAGTTTTTTTTCCTTTTGAACTCAGGCTTAAGTTATCATTTTCATCAGCAAGTTCATGCAAATTCATGCATGCAATTATTATGAAATCAGATTGCTACAATATGCACTTCAGCGATTATTTCTTAAAACACACACACATTATCAGCATTATAAAAAAGCCACTTTCCTCATCTCACGGCCACTGACTTTTCCGAACTTCTCCTCTCATCACTGTTCCTGCGATCCTGAAAAATAACAAAAAAGAAAACAGAAACTGACAAAAAGAGACAACAATATTTCTCAGGTAATGTTACACTTCCATTAGTGAACATCGCAGATTTAAGTAATTATTTCAAGCAGTTCTGCAATCTGTCAGAAAATACCAATACAAATTTAAACCTTTTATTGAGTATATGAGAAAAAGGCTCTGTTTCTTGTCTTTCAGCATCTGCTCTTCACTAGATCTACAAGATCATCTAAAGGGATCTGATTGAATCAAGATGCTGCTGATCATTGAAGCTCTTCTTCTCCTCGTTATAGCTGCTCTAGGACAGGTAAGCTTGTGTTCTAGTATGAATTTTACAGACATGAATACTGATGATTGATTATTATGATTCCTGTTGCTGCAGGATCACAGAACTGCTGTTGAAGGACAGATATTTCCACTGGATATGGCACTGAATTCAGTTGATGACCAATATATGGGCTGTAAAGGGAAAATGGCACATCTGGTGAAGACAAAATATCTGAAGAAGGAAATGGAAAACTCAGCTAAATTTAATCATTATTGGCAACACAGTAAAAATGTTGTCAAGTTTCCAGAAGATCATTTAACAAGGAATCATTTAATCACTACCCAGCAAGCAATTTTGCATTTAAAAGACGTCTATTAGTCATCTAAACACAGCCCAGACGTCTAGGCTAAAACAAGGCTAAATTTGGGCTGTCAGTGAAAATTTAATAGACGTCTAACCATAGCCCAAAAACAGACTAGTCATCAAATAGACCGCTATTAAACGACTACATATATACATCTAATAGGCAACAAAATGGCAATCCATACATACAAATTCAATATACAGCTTTTATTAAGAAAAATAATTTTTTTAACAACTTGGACAACTTAAGAAAATACAAAATGATAAAAATACAAAATAATTAATGACAAAATAAAATT